AACGCTGGCACAAAAGGTCAGGTTTAACGTAGCCCTAAACCTGAGGCCGCGGCCGAGGCACGGCGTTTCGGAAGCGGTTTACTTTTTCACGTATCAAGTGCGTCTTTGTTGCTTATTTGTTTTCCATGTTTTTGTGCAGCGGGGAAATTATTTTCGCTAGGTAGACGTTCATCATCGCGCCGGCACGAATTTGCAAATTTTCCATAGCTGCTCTTCAACGGGATTCGTTTTGCCCCGGTTCTACCACGGGCGTAAGCGACTTTTCCCATACACCTGCGCATTTACCACCGCGCACTTCCCCATCCTCACGTCCCACCTCCGCGCCTTCAGCTACCCCCTCCTCTCGCTTCTCCACGCCTCCGTATAGTCTCTCGCCGACCTATCTCTTCGCTACGGCAATTTCAAAAAAGTGCATTTTTCAAAAAACCATAAGACTAAACTTGTCCTAACTGTACTCCTCCTCGGACGAGATGGAGAAAATCTATACGCTAGATGGAAACTGGGCGCGGAGCATTCTACGGTCCGCTTCAAGAAACGTTCTCGCTCCCCTTACAAATCACTGTACGTCTACTGGCCAGTAACGCACAAGTTTTTCAAACGGCTTGGAATTTCCGCAGCAACAACCCCCCAATTTCCGGTCATTGTAACTTACAAGCGCGTAGCGTAGCAATCGCGACCGGTACACTGAGCGATAGACTCCTACGCGCTCTATTTTCACGAGGATAAATGATTTACATTCGACTCGGATGAATTTTCAGACCGGCGCCTCTCGCCGTGATCGCGTAATTTCGGTTCGCAGGAGAGAATTTCGTTGGCTCGCCCGCTCATCCGAGCTCGGCAAAGAGCTTTCGACGATAGTGTATGGAGCAGCCTGTACGCAGAAGCGCGCGCGGTGGGGAGCGTGGGCGAGCGGGAGGACGCGCGGCAAGGGGAGAAACAACGCGGTGCGCGCACTGTGCTCGCTGCTGGCGAGCGAGCGACGAGCGACGGCCGCCGCGGAGCGGCGAACGGGAGGGAGCGCGCGATAAGCGGGAGAAGGACGCCGTGCGCGTGGTCGAACAAGGAGGGAAGGCATTACTCGTGCATGGGGCGTTACCACGGAAACCCCTATTCGTTCTCCATCCCTTCGCTCGCGCTCGTCAGGCAACGCGAGAGAACGAGGGAACGAGAAAGGGGAGGTGGGGAGGGAGACGGTGACAGAAATAGAGAGACCGAAAGGACGACCGACAGAGAAAAAGGACGAGGCGCGCGCGAGAGAGAGGGAAGCGAGTTGGTCGCGCGGCGTCGGTGGGAGAAGGAGCGAACGAGAAAGAAGGAGCGTGGGGGGGGGGGCGGTGGAGGGTGAGAGGGTGAGAGGGAGAGAGGCTTGTGCCGGTGGACGGGAGCGAGAGAAACTGCGACGTGATATCGAGAGGGGAGTGGGTGATGAACGGAGCGAGCGAGAACAGAGTAAAGAGCGAGAGAGCGCGTGTTGGAGGAAGATAGCCGGCAAATGCGGAGCCGCCAGTGCAATCAACCCGTTGCCCACTCGCGAGGGTAAAACTATCCCGAAGTCAGACGAGGATACGTATATTGCGGAGGGAGTCTCGCGCACGTCACTATATATACATATAATAGTTGTATATAATATAAAATATATGCCTACATAGGTATAATGTATAAAGGATGTATATATAAAGTGTATATAATTTATATGTATGTGTATATACGTGTATGTACGAAAGTATATACGTGAAACGTCAAATAAGTAGATGTAAAGGAAGGGAATGAGCGCGCGGAGAGCGAGATAGAGACAGAGGGTAAAGAGAAACCGGTGCCCGGAGTGGAAAAAAGACCAGGCAAAATTACAAGATTAGATGCCTGCTACCTGTAACGAAACCTCCGCCGATAAAGTAGCGCACTGCGTTAAAGATCTCGAGGCCATCATTTGCGCGTGCTTTTTTTTAATTCGATCCGCGCTCCCGACCGCGACAACGATCCTTAACGAAGCCTATCGACTCGCGGGACGCGGGTGATCTCGAGATATAAATGTATGAAGATTTCGCTCGAAACTATAACTCCCATAAATTATTCGCCTCGTGGTAGCAACAAACGATAAAGGGATGGAAGAGGGAAACAGGGTCATTGTCCATTCACCGTCCGCGTTAAACCCATTTCGGTGTCGTAATTGTGAAAACTTTGTTCCTCCTGTACCATTACAAAACTCACATTTTACATAACGCGCTGTACACTGGAGAATATCATCGACATTTCTCTCTCGCGCGCGGTATCTATCTCGAGCTACGCCCGAATGGATGAAGAGCTCGAAGTCACTTTACAAGAAAATCATTTTCCGACGGATCTTTACAGAATCGGTCACATTTCCATTCCAGGCGAGTAATCGACGTAAACGGTCACTCCACGATTGGGACAGAAATCTAAATTAAAATTATCCAATTGCGATTGCGATGCCGGCACATGCAATAATTAATTTTCTCAAATCAAATAATATTCGAAACATCTTTATTTTTAATTCGACTTTGATATTCCAATTTGACGTTAATTCCACCAAGTCTTCCGCATTGTTAATATCAATTCTATACGAATTTTATCAATTGATCGAGAAATCTATAGACTAAGAAATTATGATAATTCCCGGACGATCAACGGACGTACTTTCCGCGCCCGGACAATTATGCGCAAAAATTGATAGTCCCCGAAGTTTTTAGCGATTTACGCTCCATCAAACGCGACTCGTATGTAACATATATGGATGCTAAACTCATGCGCGAGGGTGTCGGAGCTTTCGTTCTTCGTGGCTGTTGCTGGTAAGGCGCAGTTGCTCTATTCTCTTGAAACCAGTTTTCCTCCACATGACCGTCGGAGAAGGGCAGACAGAGAGCGCAAGAAAGAGAGAAGGAGAAAAAAGAGAGAACGAGAAAGAGATAGCGAGCAAAGAAGAGAAAAAGAAAGAGAGATATATATATGCTCGTGTGTGTGTTATACCCGCATGCACGCACACATTTCTGCGCAACCGTAAATGCGTGCGCACGCACACACACACACACACACGTACAGTACGCTTCTCGCGGCATGCACGTCAGCTAAACTAGAAAGTTGCTCCGACCGACGTTGTCGGTCGAAGAAACGCTGCTCGAGCTAGAGCTACCTTTCGAATTTCAACCGCGAATATTTTCTACATATAAACGTCGCTCGCCGCGTTGCGCCGCGCCGGACATGCGCGTCCCGGCGAACTGCAAAATTCGATCGGCGCGCGCGCCGCGCGTTCGATTCTCTCTCTTGCCGGCCGTACGGCACTAGCCCACGTATAAAACAACGCGCGGGCGATCGAACGTAGCGTTTTCGAAAGCCCCCGTGTTATCCGTTCCGTCCGCGTTTAGCTCTCTCGCGAGCGCGGCAGCGAGAGCTCGCCACGGATCGGTAGGTGCGATCGATCGAGCGTATATTTGGTCGGAAGCCAAACGATGCGCCGCCACACATATACACATCGCGTATACATAATATACCATTGCTGCACGTTACACGCCGTATATAATGTACGAAGGGTTCAGTTACGCTTTAATATTTTATACCGCACTGCCTCGTCTAAAAGCTTTACGATTGTAATTGGAATCGAAGCTTGACTTTTACGCGTAGGGAACATTGTAAAATTGCTTCTCGAAGAGAGAACGTGGCCGTTAAAGGCCTCTGCATTTAATTCCAAATCTTTTCCTCCGCACGTAAGAACGTCGTGACTTGCGAAAGCATCGGCGAATCGTCAGTATTATATTAACGGTATATCCCCGTTTTTCTCTTTCGTGCCATTTCCATCAACTAGAATCTTATACCACGGGGGTATGCGTCGCGCTCCTGACGGTGCATTCCTCACGGATTAAGAGGAAGCGCGCAAATTCACCACCCTGGTTGCATCGTCGAGACCTGGTTGGTCGCACGGCAACCCTCGATTCTCGCCGAGTAGAAAGTCTGCCGGTAGAAATATTTCGTTCTATACCGAGGTAACGGCGGCTTCCCGCCGAGCCGAGCCGGGCCGAGTCGAACCGAGGCGAGAGGCAAGGCAAGGCGAGGCATGGCGAGGTGAGGCGAGGCGAGGTGAGGCGAGGCGGGTCGAGGCAAGGCGAGGCAAGACGAACTGAAGCGAGCCGAGGCGAGGCGAGACGAGACGAGACGAAGCGAGGTGAGGCGAGGCGAGGCCTCGGAGCGTGGGTATCAGCACGGAACCGAGTCTACAACGCATTAGCGCGGCGTTGTCACGTTTCGAGCTCCTCTCTTTCTCTCTCTTTCTCGCCTTCTCTCTCCCTCCCTCCCTCTATCTCTCCCTCTCCCTCTCTCTCTTCTTCGCCACCTCTCTCCGTCTCTCCTCGACCGCTCGTTTCTTTCCCTCCCTCGCCGTTCTCCCTGACGCTTTGCGCCTAGCAGGCCGACTCGTTCTTTCTCTCGATACCTCTCGCCGCTGCGTCGCGCTGCGCAACGTTGCTGACTCGACTGGCGGGAAAACTGCCTCTTCAAACGGATTTTCCCGCGACGGACGCATAGTTGGAGCGTATCTCGGCTAACTCTATCCTGCCACTTTCGCGTGCCGCTCGTGGCCTGACCATCGGTATTACAGGCATTTGACAAGCATTATCGACCGTCATTAACCTCGCGCTAGACGCGCCAATCGAGTTTTGCGTCCATTTTTTTAGCGCTAATTTACGCCAAGTTTAAACAATTTCTGGAAACATTTCGACGCACCGGCAAACAACGATAATAGCAATAATTACATTCGCGTAGAAAGCGATAGGCACACTGCACATTTATCGCTATTAAATACGAGCTTAAGGATCACAATCTATTTCTATATCTTTCAGACTTGTTATTATAAATTATATTTTGTGAACCTATCCATTCATTTTTTTGTGATCGCGATATCGAACGACAATGACATAAAAAATACTAATTTAAACATTAAACTGATTAGAATTGAATAAATTTTAATAAATTTTTCTTCTTTCTGTTTTCAGCATAAAACTAATGAAAGGGAAGATGTTTTGGGCCTAAAGGTAAGCGAATTTTATAACGTATGTATGTATGTAGCTTTATTGTTACAATCTCCTTTACACTCTTACATTCACGCCTTAACCTGACTTACAAACCAGTTGGGTGCCGAATTTTATAACGTAATACACAAATTTTCATATTCAGCGAATTTAAGTTCCTTATGTATTAAAACTACAAGGTTTGCCCTGAAATTCATATTAATAAACGCTGCCGCGAATAAAATAGGAGATGCAGTGGATTTGGGACATTCCAATAAAAGACCATGTCTATTGTATTGTCTTTTGTGTCACGCGTGACGCCGGTAGCCCTGAATGTGCGCGGCAAATGGAAAGCTAATGACCGGAAACAAGAGTACATCAGGCAGGTCGATTCGTAGTGAATTTTCCAAATATACCGCGAGATATTTCCACTTCCCCTTGTAATATAAAGTGCAATTTGGAAGGACTTGTTCTTCGCAATTTTCATCTATCGCGCAATCATTTTCGTTTCGCTCCATATCGCGCGCGATAATTCTGACCCTACGCACCATTATCCATTGATCACAAAAACTGATCGCACCGATTGTTCCATGGATTAATCAAGATAATCAAAGGCAAAATAATCGACACGCAACAACATATTTTGTACATGTCGCACTTCTTTCAAAATTATTACATCTTTATCGACGTCTATCAGTCGATAAAGTCTACAAGGAACGTCTGGAATTATGTCACGTCTATTTCTATAAGATATAGTCAAATTTATAATCTCAGAACACTTGTGAACAACGACATTAAATCGCTGTGTTACGGCGACAAAATATTTTATTTCCAAGAGATAGACTCTTTCTTGAAAACCAATACGTAATTTGTTTGGGAAAAGCGAATTTTATCGAGTCTGTTGCGCTTTCTAAGCTCGATTCTCGTCTTCGAGAAGCCTCGAACGTCCGAGTGGCGTCCTGCGACTTTGGAAATAGAAAGTCACTTTGAAAATAGGCTCCGAAATATGCGCGCCTGGCGAACCCTCCTATCGTCTCGGGTAAGAAGAAGAAGAAGAAGAAGCCGAAGAGAAAGAGAGAGAGGGAGAGAGAGAGAGAGAGAGAGAGAGAGAGGAGCAGAATCGCGATGAGGAAGAACGACGAGGAGGCGAGAGAGGTGCGGGAGGGTAGACGCGGTTTTAGACTACGGACTCGGCGCGTCGGCGTCGGGTTAAAAATAACAGTAACAGCGCGGCGGAGCCGGTCCTCATCGTCGTCTACATCGTCCACGTCGCGTTTACCGCTGCTGTCGCTGCTGCTGCTGCTGTTGCCGTTGCCGTTGCTGCTGTTGCTCGTATCTTCGCCGAGTTGGATAGCGATATCGATGACGCTATCGCTGTGATACAGCCTTGATATAGTCGTATCGAACGAATTTAGAAGCGAAAACAAATTATTTCGACTTTTTTCTCACAGGAATTTTAATATCTTACATCCCGAGGTGCAGAATTTTTATCCACTTTTACGTGTCGCGACAGAATTTTTATATCTGTACGCTTAGCGTACACGCATTATAATCATTTCGGAGTTTCCTGGTCTCTGGCTCCGGCGCGTTCGCCAGAAATCTCGTTGACGAATTGTCACGTTCCCGTTTCGCGAAACTTTTGCGCTGGTAAAACACCAGACAAATTTGTCTGGTCGTGCCCATACTTTTTGCAAAATAAAATTTATTTAGTTCGCACTTTTCTCCGAAATGAGTTGGTGCGCTCCCAGGCTTTCGGGCGTAAACTTGACGCATGAAGACGATCGCGGGCTCTTACCCTGGCATTATTTTGTGCATAAAAGCTAATAAAAACATTTTCCGCGCAAAAACTATATTCGAATGTGTCGGTAACAGATGAATTCGGGATTCTCTTAAAGATGTCTTTTAGACATGCTGTATGGGCCGATGTTATATCTGCGAAAGCCGCGTGTATCTGTAGCGGGGCAACGCGGGTCGGGACTCAAAATCTTGGTCGCGTCCGCGATCAACGGATTCTCTCGCGCAACGGCGAGACGAATTTTATTTTCGTACCGCGGTGCCGTCCCGCGACCCCGATGCCACCGTCGCCGTCAGCAGCTATCCCCCCTCCAATATCACGCTGTCCTAGCGCGCCGCGACTGACACCCGTAAATCCAAACCGTGCGATTGCCGTCGCGGGTACTTTGGATGTAATGTTCGGACGGTGTTGAACAACGCGCACGTGTCGAAGGAGCGGATAACGACGAACGCGCGAGGCCGGCCCGCGAGTGTTCGTTCGTTGTCAGCGCCAGGCTTGAATCGAGCATCGTCTCCCCTTTTTCCTTCCTTACGAGAGAGAGCGCACAACTGCGCCTCGTACCTTCGTTCCCGAACTTTCGGAATTCACCCGCGATAAACATTTTCGATATTTCGATGCAAGAGCGACGGGTTTCACCATTGCTCGTGTTTCCTCTTGCCGTTCTTAGATTCGTCTGATTATACATGGCATTTATATAAATAAACGCAACGTAAAAGAGATATGTATTTAGTTGAATATTAAATGGCGAGCGCTTCGATAATTACTGAGGCGCCATTTTGAGCGTGCGATTTCGAGCGCCGCACGCTCACTTGCGCGGCATACCGGGCGCTCTCGGCTAGGAATAGTCGGGACAGGATACGGGAACAGTTACCAACGCGTCAGGGCCAGCGTTGCTCGAGGCGATCGGGCAAGGACGGTACCGCTACGGGCAAAGATCCTCAATCGCTCTCCTCCCGCAGGAATTTATGACGCGAAAAATCTTGTTCTCTCCGCGGGAATTTCCCCCGATCGCCGATTTCTCGCGCGACTCGCCTAGCGAGCGAGCTTCCAGATCGTCCTTAGAAAAAGTGAGAAAATAAGCCGAGCGGCGAATCGTTCGCTCGGAACGAACGCGATATCTATCGACATAGGATTTGCTAGAGAAAGACGTTGCGCATTTCCGCTCGATCCCTTTCCTCTGTGACTTTGGAATCGACCTCGGCTTAACGAATGTTGGACGGAATAAATTACACCTTTCTTTTGCCCTTCTTTCAACTTTTCTGCAAATATCTTGGTCTAATTCTCGAATAAAAATGTAAAACAAAGCCCACTTAAGGTCAGTCTTACAGATGTCGGTTAACTGCTCTAACCAGATGTTAATCAATTCCCTATCCTTTTCTCCATTATTATCCAATTGTAAGAAGAGACGGAGAGAATCGAGAAATCTCCAGCTAGCAGTTAACCGACCGTGTGTAAAATTGGCTCTCGAATAAGTTTAAGTGAAGACTAGCAATTCGCTTAATCGCATCTGTTTATTGGTGGTTTCGAATATAGCGCGATTAGTCGCGAATCAAGTTTTGATAGCTGCGCGACGATTTGTCTCTCCCGACAAATACGGAAATTCTCATTTTCGCGATTAATATTCGTCCGTTCCAAATATTGGCGACACGGGCGCGATCGATCCGGAGGTAAATAGACTTGCGAGGTGCCTTGACGTATCGACGGTGCTGACGGTACCGGCGGGATCGGCAAGCAGGCGATACAGGCCGAAACAAACCGATATTCCTAGATCCGACCCAACCGTCGTACGGAGGTCGTTGAATCCCATTAAGCGGTACTCTTCGATCGTTTCGCTGCCGACCACCTGTACGCCAATGTTTTTTTCAGTTGATTCTCTCTCCTGCCCCCCCCCCCCCTCTTTCTCTCTCTCTCTCCTCTATCCTGCTGCAACGTACCTACCGCGATTATTGTGTCGGATGACGACAACGAAGAGAAGGTAGCCACCAGAACGAGAGCTATTACACTTCTCGTTGTCGTCGTCCTCATCATCCTCATCATCCTCATCATCCCGATATTCGTCGGTGAATATCGCGGCTAGAATATTGTATTCTCCTTTTCTCGTGTGGCTAATGCGGCCACACCTTTCACCAACACCCAGCCCCAGCAGGACCGACTGAGCGTACTGAGTTAGCTAGGCTAGCTGGATGACTTGGCTTGCCGATCAAAGGAATAGCCCAGGCGCGGTCGCTCGACTCACTCCTTCGCTCGCTCGCTGCGACCGGCTGTACGATGACTATTCGCGCTCATCTCGAGAGCCGCCTAACAGTAAAGTCTCACTCGTTTTGTTCCGTCGTCGGACGGCTCCAACAATCCTCGGAGAGGACCTCGCAGGATTTTCATTACGTTCCTCCCATCACTTACGAGATACGCTAGCAATTGTCCCTCCTCTATCTCGAAGAGTTTTCAGTATGTCAATGCGTGTACCTTGAAATACACGTATCTCTTCAAGTACATACTATTATATAGACCTAGGGTTTGAAAGTAGGGCTCACACATACACACACAGATTCGAATTACATGGTCTAGCTATTTAAATGGTCTCAAACTGAAACGTTAAAAATTTATATGCAAATACTTACAAAGGATGTTAACAATGTTTCGAACTAGTTAATTAACTATTAAACTATTTAGATTTGCGATATCCGAAAATTTGACAGTTCGGAAAATTTCGTTGAGAAAAACTCACACGAAAGTAACAATTGCAGATGAGAATAGCTTTAGTTTCTTTTTCTCACAATATGCTACTCAGCTTTACGGTTTTACTTGAATTCAAAAGTAAATTATTTTATTTCCGAAATTTGAAACGTAAGAAAAATATTCGTTACTTTAATTTTATTTGTCTATATTTATCTCTTAACTTAATTTTACTTGACAATAGGTTTGTATTATATTTGAGTACAACTTTGAAATCAAAATCACAATTGGGATCTGAAGATGATCCTTTAAGCATCACAAAGAAGGATACAAAAACTCAGGTAAAAAATCTTAAAATTTGTGTCCTAAGAATTCCTTTCTTTTGCCTCTCAAATGTTTCGAAATTCTTAAGCGGTTTCTTGTTCAGATTTCTAAAATTTTTTAAGGATCGTCGTCTCGAGCCTTCCCTGTTTACCGTATTCGTTTCCCTTTTCCCCAATTGTCTTATGCCCCTACTTTTTATTATAACATTTTTTCCGCTGCGTCAAATAGGTCA